TGTGCCCCACCTGAATGGAATTCCTGGGTTCAATTCCTTCATTTCGTTGTTTGTTTGTTGCACAAATGAACTAAGGTAGATCACTCTCCTTCCCTGTGCTCTGCTACATGCAGCTTTTCTTGGATGGAGAACGAGCTGTAGCTTATTTGACAAAAGAAACTAGGAATAACCTACTTGTTGGTGCTGCAACTGAAATCACACGTCGATATCATGAATTGGCTGCTGACCTTGTTAGTGTGGTTAGTATCATGAAATATGTCCCTTGACTTCTAGGTTTTTTTTGACCTAATTTCTGAATTTAAAGCATTTGAGTTTTATATTCAGGCTAGGAAAACAGAGTCTTCGCTTCAGAGAATACGTCAAGGTGCACAAAAGCGAGCTGGGGCAAGCTCAGACGTCACAGACCACAATGTGTCCGACACTGACAAGATTTGCATGCAGTTGTTCCTTGATATTCAGGTGATCATCATCCTGCTAACCTTTGATGAATTTATTGAGACAAGATACCATTATGATGCTTTAATAAAATCATGAAATAACCTGGATGGTTTTCGTACCAGGAGTATGGGCGCAACCTTGCTGCGATGGGAGTTGACGCCACCACCATCTCCTCATATTGTTCATTGTGGCAATGCGTAGCTCCTCCTGATAGGCAAGGCCATATTGCTTTCCAGGAGTTCGGCTTTTCTCACACCAGAAACCTGTAGATGTATCCAAATATATATATATATATATTTTACATGTTGATTTTATTAGAGAACTTTATTTTCTTTTCTTTTGTGATTTTACTAGCTACTGTTGGAAGATTCATATGTATACTGGTCCTAAAATATAAATGCTCATATAATTGCTATTGATAAATTGAACATTGAATCGCATGCGGAAAAGAAATAAGATATCAATTCATTTTTGTTTTAAATTCGTTGTGTTGAAAATGATTTGCTTTAGAGGATTAATTGAAGTTAAACTAAAAAAGGCTGCTTTTGGAAGTTCTAAAAATCAAATGGAACAAAATGTATTTATAAAAATATATATTTATATACAGAGGGTTTAATTTTTCAATTGGGTTTAAGAATTATAGATTCGAGGCCAAATTGAACAACTAAACTTAATTTTTTTAGTTTTTCAAATCAAGCCACACTAAAATCATAATAATTCATCTGGTAACTATTAAATTTGCACAAAGTAACTTAAATATTTATCTATGGATGCATCAACTAAAGTGTAAAATTCAGTGTTATGGAGTCTACTAACTTGAGTTTGGTTGTTTTAAGGAAAAACAGTAGTGATTAATGAAGAACATATATGAAAACCTTCAGCGTCTTTTGCTAAGTTTGCCATTAACACAGACCAAGAAATTGAAAAGGAAAGAATATAATGAACTTATTGTTACAAATCCATAGTTAATATATTGTATACACATTATGAAACTTAACATAATTAAGATCACTGCACCATTACTCTGAACTCATCAAAGCTAAGCAAACAATCCCCATCCATATCAAAGTGACTGATCATGGGCCTACAATCATCAGTGGATATAGAATCACCCAGTACTCAGGCTTAGCATTCTCTTCAGGTTTTGTGGGATGATAAACCCACACCCATCATCTTCTTACATTCCAAATGGCTCCTTCAGATCCTTCATCTTCTCTTTCCCAACTGCTTCCGTTAATCCAACATCTTCCAAATCCTCCAACCCACCTCCGTCTGAATCCAAATACCCTGCCATTTCTGCTCCCTTCATCACCAGCTCTCCTCCAACTGAACGCACTCCTGTAACCAGCTCTGCCACCAGGATTTTCCCATCTCCATCTCCATCCAAGTAACCAACACTCAATCCAATAATTCTCCCTCACACTCATCATCTGATATGCATTCTGCACCTTCGTGAGGCTATAAATTAACTGGCGTAGCTATTATACATATACACACTATCTGTGAGTATATCTATGTGCCTGTGATGAGAAGAGATATTATGGAAACAAGTATGGAAGTTCTGTAATTTGATGCTTCCCAAGTCACTGCGCCACTGCTCTTGCATTTCTACTCCATGATCTTCCTTGTAAAATACCATTAAATGTACGATTGTTCAATTAAAGTTTCACTACTGTTCACAATTGAATTATTATTTTCTCCAATCAACTCGGTCATGAAATCAAATTCAAATCACTTTCAAGGGTGAAACTTGCTTATTGATTCAAGACCATAAAAAATCACTATAGGTATATTCACAGGATCTTGGATTTTTCTTTTCGTTTTCATTTGGCTTCTTTCTTTATGGGATGACAACGGACAAATCACTTACACAACCAAGATGCTCAACAAGAAGAGATGGGGAAACAAAACGAAAAGGCAGTGAACCAAAGCCCCAACATTGCAAGGCTTCACTCCTTTTATGAGAACCATCCCCAAAACTTTACCATACAATAAACCTATTGACCTCATTTTACAGACAAAATGACTCCACCACCCACAATCCCAAGCAAAAGTGCCAAATTTACTTGCACCTGACTTTAAGAGAAAGCGGCAGAGACCTAAAGAAAAAGAACCTTTTGTACAAAGAACCTTTCACATGAAGTAACTGAGGGCCTTCTTCCTTCTAGACCCACCTTCCCCGTATAGTTCATTCCATTGTAAGAGCTCAGTCATATTCACTGATTCGGATGAGACACTGGCGCAAACCTGTTCTCAGCACAACAAAGAGAACAAATAACTCAAATGAGATGGGAACACTAGTAACCAAATGAACGAAATGTCTTTGCAACATCAATTTTTATATTGATCTTACCCGCTCATGAGCATATCTAAAGTCATGCATATTTAGAGCCCGGATATCAGCACTCCCACTCAAAGCTGGAGGAGGTTTACCTTCTGCTAGAGCAGCAGTACGTTCCTATGAAAAAAGCTGCACGAATTAGATCAAGCTATATATATGTATATATAAACTAATTTTGTTTAGCACATATCTAAACTAGAGGACCATTTCATCCTTCCTTAATCTGCCCTTGGTGGCTAGTGGCTCAATTACGATGAATTATGTGTTTGAGATGGTATTGGGGATTTAGGGTGTGAGACCCAGAAAACAATTGCTTCCTTTTTTCAATTGGCTATTATTTGAATTATTTGAAAAGAAAGGAATGAGATGGCTTTTGACAGCATTATGTCTCCTTTTGTTAGCATCAGAGATTGCAGATTTCAGCCTATGAGTTTTTTGTTTAGTGACCAGACTTTACCTTTGAAGAGAAACTTAGGAAACTACAAAGATATTTCCCATCACAATCGTTAAAGTTTCTTTCATATCTGGGTGGGACCTCCTTGGTGCCCGGTTAATACTATTTCTCTCTATTTCTCATCACATGCATCGGAGCCTATTTGTCATATTCAATAATTTACTTTTCTACCTTTCTGGGATGCTAAAACAGGAGCTTTTATCCCCCTTCAGGTCAGGCTGCAGTCTTTATTTTCTTGCTTACTAGTGCATTGGACTAGATTAAAATGTCCAGGCTGTGGTTCACGTATTATCAACATCCTTGAGTTTTCATTACCTAAGTTCATGTACGCTTAGACATAGAAACTTGTATAGATCTTGAGAAGATGAAAAAATTAGTTTGAAAATTAATTGCAAAAGCATGTATTGATTTAGAAAAAAAATAATAGTTATTTCCGAAAAGAAAAAATTATTCAAAAGCTGGTTTTCATTTTATTATTTGAAACCTGGTTTTCATTTTCAACAACAGCACATGTCGTGTATACCTAAACATACAATAAACCTGACTCTTTAGGTCTAGCAAACAAATTGTTTACTTTTGGCACAGTGAAACGGATAATAAAACGCACCTATTTTGTCCATAAACATGCAGGAAGTCCAAAATTCAAAATTACAAAATATTGTCATGTCCTGAACATAGCCTAATTGTTTTGAAATCTAATACTCATGACAATGATAAGGACAAGGTTCAGCAGAAGTCAAGAGACAAAAAAAACTCATTTATTGCTTAGCCTTGTTTCTTCATAAAATATAAATGAACTGATACATGCCATGAAAAGAAACTTACTCGCTTTTCCTTTTCCAATATTTCTTTGATTGGGCGATGTGCTGCAGTTACACAAAGATTCTGCAAATGTTTTAAAAAAAATTGTGAGCAGATGTTTTACCCAGTAAATTCAATAATTCATCAACTATCAGAAAAAGTAGCAATACTACCTTCAGATCACTTCCAGAATACCCATCTGTCATATTTGCAATTGCATCAAAATCAACATCAGTAGACAAGTCCTCTTTTGCCAGGATAACTTTCAGTATCTTCGCTCTATTTGGACTATCTGGTAGATTTACCATCAATCTATAGAAGTACATGACAAATTCTAAAATAAGTTAATTCAAGCAAGCGTAAGAATAGTAATATTCAGCATCTATCCACACATCTGCAGGCAGGAATCAGG